TGTCCCGCAAGTCTATAACAGAATAAAAACGAATTTTCACAACACTTCCTTTACTTCCTTGCACGAAGAAAAGTAAGTGTTGGTTGTGATCGCGAAAAATTTCGGGTATTATAGTTCAACGAAAATACCCATTTTGACCGCTCTTGAATCCAAGTCAACGACGAACAGAATGCGGACAAATAAAGGACATTTTTTCAAAAACGGATTGTAAAATGGATATAGAAGATATTTTTTTTCGTTACGTCTGAACGTACGTATGTACGTATCTCGCATAACTCAAAAACGAATAGCTTCAAAACGTTCAAAATTTTGTGTATAGGACTACTATAGTATGTAACTATGCATATCCCTTTTTTGTTGCAATCGGCCGCACCAAACTATATGACTACCGTATTTGACGGCATATAAGACGCACTGGCATATAAGACGCACCCTTATTTAGAAGGCCACACACAAGTAAAAAAAGTTTCAATAGTCCAATAACTTAAAATGTGGTTTCTTTTAGTTCTCATGTTTCGTAAAAGCCAAATAAACAATCATTGTAACCGAACATATTTTTATTAAGAAAAATTAACAAACGGCAAGCTATTTTGAACATGATATGTAAATTTCAACAATGAAAAATGAATGAACGGCAAGAAATCAAACATAATACAAAATAAAGCAGAAACAACAGAAAACACAGATTCAAAGAAAACGTTGCCTATCATGAAATTAGACTTTAATCACCATCAAAACCATAAAAATCCTTTTCAGTATCATCATCATCGAAAACGAGAATATCGTCATCATTACTGTTTCCGTCATCGCTAGTATCACCTTCTTCGAATAATGCGTCGTCTTCTGTTCCGTCAAGAGTATTACTGATTCCGCACTTCTTAAAGGACTTAACAATTACTTCAGCCTTTTACGTCCTCCCAAGATCTTTTTACTCACTCGCACGCTTGTGAAATAGAGGGCCGCTTCATTCTGCCTGAGGGCGTGATGTGGCTCTTCTATCCACTTGTTCCATCGTTCTCGCACTTTTTCCTTAAATGGTTTATTCACCGATACATCTAACGGCTGCAATTGGCTAGTCAGTTCACCAGGAATGACAACTATCTGGGTTTTTAATTCTCTCGCTTTATTCTTTATGGTTTCAGTTCTATGGAAGCTAAACTGATCCAAAACCACAAGAGAGGGTTTTCTTAAGAGTCCACCAGGTCGCCTCGTCCATACGTTCTGTACCCACAGTTTCATTCCAGTCCATCCAGCCTTTCGGATGAACATGAAACTTCCAACACCCGTTGGAAGTTTTTCTTTCGGATGAGTTTTTCTTTTGAATATGAAGAACGGCGGTAGTTTTGTGCCATCAGCACAACATGTTAGAACTACCGTATATCGGTTTTTTTTCATGATTTATGGTTCTTATGGTTATTGATTTAGACCCTTTAATAATCACAGTCTTGTTGGATGCTACATCAAATGTGAGTGGAATTTCATCCATATTTCCTATTTGACCGAGCTCAAAAGTTTTCTTGTGTGCATTTATAACAAACCTATGAAATGCTAGTATTTTTTCTTCATAATCTGCTGGCATTTTCTGTACAATAGTTGTTTTTGTGCGCATTGATAAGCCTTGCCTTTTCATGAACCTGTAGCACCAGCCCTCAGACCCTGAAAAGTTCTGATTCCCATGTTTTTCTGCAAATTCTTTGGCCTCATTAATTATCATTTTAGTTGAAACACTTATCCCAGATTTCCTCTTATCTATCACCCACATTTTTACGGCATTTTCAAGTTAAAGCCAAGATGAAGCTGGGCGTCGAAGGTTATGTTTTTGTTTTTTAGCAGTCTTCTTGGTAGTTCGGTCCGAGGTTCGAATCCCGCGAACGTGCTGGCTGCATGGGTGTTTTCGTGGTTTCCGCATGTGTGACGTCTATACGAGCCAGTTTTCCTTAGAAAGTCCTCCACGAAGGCATCCCTCCCCTTAGGCAGATAGCCCTAGTGTGCTTTGCCATAATTAAATACACCACACCACACCACACCACTTAGCAGTCTTCAGTTGATCTTTCTGCAGTCGCCAAGTACGTATCATTTTTTCGGTAGGTGGTGGACCGAAATGCCTTGTTGCTGTTCTGTTTCCATGCACTTTGGCGTAGTTTAACACTCCTAGTTTATACTGAATTGTATAGCTTAATCTCTTGTTTCCTGTAGTCATATTTTTCCAGGGTATTTTTTTAAAACTAATAGTTTTAAGCACCGATACCGACACGTTTATACAGAGTGGCACCGATATCGACACGTGTGTCGGCTGAGTCAAAGAAAGTCTATGCAAAGAAGGAAAGGTTCCATAGACGTAATGTGAACGTCGAAACTGTTGGAACTTCGACATCAGCTTCGAGCTTTGGCGCTTTTTGGCGACAGATATTTCACGCATGCGCAACATAATTATGGCAGATGTAGAAAACGTTAAGTGTGTCTAGACCTTTATCCTGGCTAAAAAAAGCATTCAGTGTTGAAAGTTAACCCGTGTCCTTCACGTATAAGACGCAGGTAACTTTTTTGAGACCAAATTTAGGAAAAAAAGTGCGTCTTATATGCCTTCAAATGCGGTATATATATATCTATCTATACATCTATATATATCTATAGCTATATGTTAGGTGATAATATAATGAATATTTCTTTAGTATATTTACTAAAGTAATATTGATTAAATTATGTCCTAATATAAAGTTAGTAGAATGTATCTAAATGAAGTAACCCAGAAGTATGAAGTTTAATCCCGAAAATAATAGAAATTTAAATTTTTAAAAAGAATATTAATAAGCAAGTAATAATCGTCATTGATCGGAAATTGGTTGACTTTTCAAAGGGAACAAACCAACTCCCGTTCAATTAACAATAATTAATAAATGCGAAGGTATTTAGTCTTTTATTTAAGTGTTTAGAACTGTTTAAGTGGAACTAAGCCTAACAAAGCCTCCATTTGTTTACATTGAAACTCTCAGCAGAATAGTGAATTAAGTCAGTTTGTGCACCAAATTCAGTGTCTTTTTGCTGAGTGGGAGCAAACATTAACTTTCAGTTTTGTGAGCCAAAAAATTTATCTTTCTGCCCACATGTCCGAATTGCTTGTTTCTGCGTAGAAACTCTAATTTTAATTAAAATTTTTTTAACTGTATTTTTTTAATGAGGATGTTTTGCGCTTTTATTCATTTTTGCCTTGCCGCGAAGTGTAATCTGAATTAATTGAATGGGGAACATATATCGAGAAAATAAGTTTAAATGAATGTGTATAAATTAATAAGTTGTACAAGGAAGTCATGAGTGTCGACATCTGACTTTTTGTATAGTAAGAATTATACATTTTTTTTAAATACGCATATATACGTAAACAAATATAAAGAAAAAGTGGTTCTTATAATCTTTATAATAACAAACAATCTATTTTACGATATATCAACTAAACAAGAATAATAAAGATTCAAAATTTTAGGAACCGAAATTTCTGTAAATGAAAATAGAAGGAAAGTCCTCCAAACTTTAATTGCACTTTTTAAATAAAAATAATACTCACTCTTGCCGTCTAAGAAAGCCGAAATATATGCTGTTCAATTAAACTTTAGAAAGTAAATTATACGTTGGAAATTTTTAAAAATTTTTTTATGCATATGATAATGTGCGTGCAGGAGAATTAAAAAGAAATTCTATAGCCTGCATAATAACATATACCTTAAGTGTCTGTTATTTATTATAATAATTTGAGATTTTGTTAATAAAATAAATAGCCTTTCAAAATGTCAAACATACTGTTTTTTTACTGAAAATTAAATCCTAGCATGGAAATGATTTTCTTTCTTTCCTCCAAGTGATTTTCTCTTTTGGCTTGAGTGAGTGATTCAAGTACTACTTACGTGATCCAAGTGATTCAAGTACTACTTACGTAGTTACAGTGACGACGATGATTTTAGGATTCCATTCAGGTATAGTTTGAAAACACGGTTTTTCCACTGGGAATCCGACGCTGAAAGTATCTCTTTCGCAAGTGCATTGACGTGAAGGAGAATTAAGTAGAAAGCGAAGAAAATAGCATTGTTCATTGAAAACAACAATTACCCTGTAGGGTTTATATTTATTTTAACTAACATTTATTTTAAGCTATCTTTCCTGTCAAGCCTTTATTTTCCCCTGGAATTGCCAATGCCAGAGTATGTAAATTTTAGTAGAACGCGTACAGTATTCAAATCTTTAGCAGAAGTAATTTGAGTTAAATAGAGGGGAAACGAGTTTGTAGGTGTGCTTTCTTGATTCACGAGCGTGAAGGTTGCTAGGTAGAACGCTCAGAGGATTCACGAAGTGTCTCGAAAAAGCGAAGTTCCGCTGGGAACATAAGATTACAAAGACAAGTCTATTTAACATTGAGGTAAATGGCTATCTAACCAAATTGATGACATAGCGCCAAACTGACGATGATTTTGGTAACTAACTTTTGTCGCCAAATTTGGCGAGAAATCACCAGATATTACTAGATTTGGCCGACCATTCAGCGACATTTTCATCTGGTACTGATATCTGCAATTGGTATTGTAATTGAATAACTGTAACTGATCCCTATACGTAACTGTAACCCTACTTGGCTCTTATATGCAACTTTAACCGTCTCGACGACTGAGGGAATACTGTATAAGACCGGAAAGAGCATCAATTCTCAGAGTTGAGTTCAGAGTTCAGAGCTCATAGTTCAGAGTTGAGTTGGAAGTATTGAAAAATCTCCGTGCGATCTTCGCTCTTTAGAATGCGTTGTATTTAGCATTCTTAGTAGTTTGAAGTAGTAATTACTCACTGTGCTTTCATACTGAAAAGAGATGTATGAGTACTTTTGTGAAAGGTTCCAGAACTGTAAAGAGTTTCTTTTGGAAAAATAAATTTTATAAAGCCATGTATTCAATCCATTTCTAATCAATATGAACATAGCAATATATTCTTCATACAATTATAAAACAAATTCTTCATACCTGAGGCATGAACCCTACTCCAGGGCCAGGGACACAAAATCCTTTCTGCCCAGGAACTTTGCCATAGATTTTGATAATCCCACTGCTCGGCTTGTATCGTCCAACGATGCATCGTAAAAGAGTAGTTTTGCCGCAACCACTGGGTCCTAAAAGACCGTATCTGAGAAGAAAAAAAAAAAAGTATTATTTAATTTCTATTATTACGATGAATTAATTTAACTACATAGAATTACGAAAAAATTTTGTTTTTAAAAGTAGCATAATACACATATATAAACTATGGTTTTCCTTTTTCCTATGCCAAGAAAAAGAAAAAAGTTAAAAATCAGTACAAGAAAATTCTGTTGGTCCTAATCTAGAATATATTAAATGGCGCAAAGATTCATGTCCTGGCATTTTTAAATTTAAATAAATCGAATTTACAAAATTTACGAAATCTAAATTTTTATACGTTACTGTAGTCCTATATTTATATTTGGAAGACGTGTCATACTTCTCACAAAATATAAAACACCAAAACTTTGATTCACGGGTGAGAACTATTGACAAAGATGTTTATTCAAAATTTGAGAATTTTTTACTTCATTCTTCAATTTAATTTGGAGGGAGAAATCGGCTAACAAATAAATTCGAATAATTCGAGGTTGATTTTTTCCACTTAAATACTACCCAAGGATACTCTTTCGTGATTTATTATGTGCTTAATTTATAATTTTGTTACATTTCGTATGCCGAAAGAATTTTCGCACAAATAGTTTAAAAGTTTTCTATTATACTCGAAGTCTAAAAGTTTGTTATTCATATTTTTATTATGTTTTATAACTTTAAAACCATAATCTGGTAATTATAGAAAAAAATCATTAAGCTACAAATATTTGTCATTTTTAATTAATGCGATTAATCTTACCAGTTGGATACGTGCCAGCACTGAAGTCTGTCAGTGTTTTCTAGAAAAAAGATTTTTTGAATAGCATTTGCACTTTGAAAAAAAAAATACATTGATCAACGTTTTTTAGAATAATCCCCATAGAAATGTCCAGCATTTAATTTCTTAAATTCAGAATCCTTTCCTAAATTTATTTTATCTTCTCTTTCATACAAATGCAAACATTTCATTTTCAGTTTGAGTACGGTTCTGAAATATAACCTCCAAATTTAGAATGAAATATCTCGGTAAGTTTTTATCATATGCGAGTAAAACATTTTGTGTTTTATCTTTTATAATGAATAAAAAATTTTTCTAAGGATGAGTATAGGGACCGGAGCAATGTATAAAATATTAGATTTCGTAATTTAAAATATAAAATTAATATTCTTAATGGACAACATGAATCTTACATATTTTTGTCACTGGAAGAACACTCGTGTCCAAAATTAAGAGCATTTGCCTATTATGTCGGATTTCTGAAAAACTAATGGACTGATTTTAATGAAATTTCGTATGAATATATATTTATAAGAAAGAATTGTTACTACCTTTAGGATTTTTAATTTAATTTAATTTAATTTTTAATATTAATGTTTACAAAAATTTTTTTTTACTATAACAAAGATAGCAGCTTGACACTCAACTTTACCTACATAAGCGCCATCTATATAATTTGAAGAACACACTTACTTCTCTTTCACAACACTTTTGCAGACCCCAACACTCATATAGTAGGTAAGTTAGAATTAAAACTTACTATTTACTTGCTTTAAGTATTTTTCAAAAAATTTTTTATGTAGTATCTAAGTATTTTCTAAATATGAAATTATATTTTTAAATATATATTTGTTTTTTAAAAATTGTGAATTAGTTCTTTTTGTTTCTTATTGGTTTATATGGATTATGTATAGTTCTTTAAGTAGTTCTTTTTATTGATATGCATATTCGTGTAGGGGAAGTTTCTGTAGACAAGGATTTCTAAAATACATTGGTTTCTAGATTTTTTTATTGTTTTTTAAAAAATTAATTTTTTAAAAATTTAATTTTTTAAGAAAAAGTTTAATTCTTGACTTTACTTGCTTGTTACTCAAAAGACTTTCCTTTTTGAACTTTAATTCTTAAAAGTTAATACTTAAATGTTAATTTCTAAGGGTACCACTTTATTGGAATTACTTTTGGTTTTGACTTTTACCCTTGCCTGCATGAATGACGAAACACGAATTGAATGATTGGAGAGTTAGGTTTGGAGGCAACTTCCCCTTGATAAGTCTGTCTCCTGCCTACTCTATGGTCATTCACATATGCATTTTAAAAAAAAAAATTGTTTAATTTAATTTTAATTTATTAAATTAGTAGATTTAATCTCATGGATAGATTTGCTTATGCTTCTGAATTTAAATGATATTGTAGATTAGTTCGAGAATTAAATCTTTTTACATGTTTGCACATTTTTTTTTAACTATTTTAAATTATTTTGGCTTTTTTCCTTTTTTTAGAATTAAATTTTTTTACTTTTATACGTATTTGTTAAGAATTTAAATTTGTTTAAATTTATATTTATAAGAAAGAGATGTTCCATTAAAAAATCATTTCATGTGCCTTATGATTACCAAAAAAGCTCATAGTGCAGAGATGTCCAAAATCCACGTTATGATATCGAGCTGAAAATGAGTCTACTATGGGGTACGGACAAATCAGGCAACGTAACGGCATACTGGACAGGATGGAGTTGAGCAGGCCTTGTGACAGTCCATCCTACTCCTGCGAGAAGGTAGTTTTCAACTCTGGGATGGTTCTTAGAGGGGGATGGTGAAATAAAATTGCCCTTTCAAGAGCGTCCACACATGCTACACATGGTCACACTTGGTCCACACATGGTCAGGAGATCTCGCTGGCTAGTTCATGCGGGGAATATCCTCACTTACCAGTTAATCCTCGACCAGCTGAGCCCTATGTGGATGAGCGTAGTCTTGCATTAACAGGAATCCAGGATCAATTGCGCCGCTGAAAAACTGAACATAGAGCTCTGAGATCCCTCTACACCTCATAGAAGTGCAGGAGATTTTGTCAGACATACGCAGGGATTGTGTGGCCGTCCAAAATATTGCCTGCCAAAGCAATTACACTTCCACCATCATAATGATCTTTTTTACTGATGACAGAAGGATGATATCGTGTTCCAGGCTGCTTCCTCCAGATAATGGTACGCTGAGAGAATTAAGATCCTAGATGAATCTCGACTCATTTGTAAAAAACAGGATTGTCGACTGCAGCCTTATCCGAGCATGTTGAATGCGTTTTCTTGTATGCCACAGTTACCAGGATGCAAAGGAGCAGTATCTTCTAGCATACAACTCTATCTGGCGATGCCTTCGGGCAACTGTAGGCCATAAAACTCGTATTTCAGCGGCAGCATACTGCTCTCGAGAGAGCTGTAGAGCTATGGAAGTCCTGTATAGCTGCGCTGAGAGTGCCAAATATAGATCTTCATTCGTCATTGGGGGCCCACCAGCGGCCGAGCGGTAAAGTCGCTGAACACTGGTAGTTCGGTTCGAGGTTGGAATCCCGCGAACGGGTTGGCTACATGGGCGTTTTCGTGGTTTTCCCCATGTGTAACGTGTATACGAGCCAGTTTCCCTTAGAAAGTCCTCCACGAACGCATCCTTCCTCTTAGGCAGATAGCCCTCGTGTGCTTTGTCATAATTAAATACACACACACACATTCGTCATTGTAGATCTTGTTAGATTTGGAAGATATTTCCCATCACGTTAATTTTTTATGGGTTTGTATTAATCAATAAAAAATCCTTACTCTAACTAATCATTCAGAATTTCTAAAAGACAGAGCAATTCTTTTGATTTTGAGAAATTTAGCTGCTTGTCCTCAGAAAACTTTAATAACTGATGACAGCAAATGATGCGGAAAAAGAAGAATGCATTTTTGTCATTTTCAAGGAAAACGTAATTTTCGAGGAAACAAACATCCTTTTGACAGATGAGGAATATCCAAGAATAATAATGAATGGGGAAAACGTGCTTAAACGCAGACAACTTTAAAAAGTTTTATTTATTGATAACTTCTCGTTAAAAAAGAAATATTAAGTAGTCATAGAAATAATTTCATGGTAACTGAAGTGTTGAATGTGGTGGTAGAGAAATAATGATATTGTTCTTTCGGAAAAGGAAAGAAATTTTAAAAGCGTAAAAGTGGCCAGTATCTTTTGTAATAATTAATTTAAACCTTGCTTTAATGAAGCAATAATGCTACAGTCCTGAGTAAAGATGTAATGAAATTGCACAATACTTAATAAGTAAAATAGCATAAAGTTCAATATAAAATTCAATCTAAAGCATGTGTACATACAGCATTTTGAAAGAAGAATAAATTTAAATTAGCAGATAATATTTCTCATTTCAAATAATAAGTTAGTTTTAAAAAGCTCATTTTAAATAATAAGTTCATATAATTTAATGCCAGAAGTTTTCATTCCAAAACTTTGCTTTTTTTCAATTCTTTATTTAAATTTTCTAAACGTGTGTAAACAACGTCTGCATTTTTTTAGTAGCTTCAGTTATTTCAATTAATATTTTTAATTTGGGAGGCATGATAAGATAGATGACGGCTTAAGTATAATCTGCACACACACACACACACACAAAAAGAGATAACAAAAAAGTTTGAAAGCTTTCACATTTTACATTACGCCCAAAGGAACTTTTTTAACCTTTTGTATGTTACCTTTATTTATTAAATGTTCTTCGCACTTAAACCATAAAATTCAATTTAACTGCAATATGGCAAAATAATTTTAAAATGAGCATATCTGTAGAAATTCCGATACATAGTCTCGTGCGCTGGAGATAATTTTTTTTTTTCGTACAGTTTTGCCATTGCTCCTTTTTAGATCGTTGAGTTTGTTAATCAAAAATTCATTGAAGTGTTACAAAATATAAATATATAATGTAATCGTAATATTGTCATATGTACCATAATATATAATGTAATATGTAATGTAGTCGTAATAGTGTCATATGTATCATAATATATAACGTAATATGTAATGTAGTCGTAATAGTGTTATATGTATCATAATATATAATGTAATATGTAATGTAATCGTAATAGTGTCATATGTATCATAATATGTAATGTAATATCTAATGTAGTCGTAATAGTGTTATATGTATCATAATATATAATGTAATATGTAATGTAATCGTAATAGTGTCAT